GACACACATCAAGGAAACAGGTGTTTCTCCGAGATGTATTACACCACCACTACCAGAGCAGGTATCAAACTGCCACGGACATGGCTGTGTTACTCCCCCACCCTGGACTGTGCCTATTGTGAGCCGTGCTGGCTGTTCGCAGCCCGAGGTGCACCGTTCTACAGTGATGCGTGGACATGCGTTGTCTGCGAGGATTGACTCACATGCACAATCTCAGGTCCATGTCCAACCCAGTCTCACGGCATTTCGTGTTCACCAACACGATTTTTAATCTATTGATTCGTGTTCACCAACACGATTTCCCCCTTTTTTTCGTGTTGCACAGCACGATTTTAAAAGCAATGTATTTCTACTGGTAATGACGCTCATGGAAGCACGGCATTCGTTTGTGTCGGCTGCCCTTAAAGGCAATGTGAGCGTCCATTCTCATTGGATAACGGAGAATTGTACACCCGGAAGTAAGTATTCCCCTTACTGTCGATTGATTTTACAGTGATATCTGCACTACTCATCGACTAAAAAACACCAGATTATCCTTGTTAATTACACAACATTGATTGGTTTAAATTGTGTGCAATGCTTTTGTATTTTTCCCCTTCGATTCGGAGAAACAAATATGTTTTCGGAGTAAAGGATAGCAGAAGACACTACACTACCCAGAATCCCCAGCTATCGTTTGGACTACACCATGTGCTCTGTTTGACAAACCCCGTGATAGTCCTCAAGCTCTGTGATTGCAAGCAACGCTGAGTTGGGGGGGGGGGGCCCAAAAAAAATATTTGCACCGGGGCCAATCACAACCTTGTTACGCCACTGGCATGAATGCTAACTCTTTTACAAGTTTAAGACTAATTCCTGCACCCTATAGAAATGTCCCATACTACTTGTTGAGCGAGTAAGCGAAAATAAGAATGTTTTTCAGAATTGGAAACATATGACAAAGACAATCATGCTGTATAACCTGAGTCGAGTTTTGAGCCCCACAGTGCTGTAAATCAGCTCAAAACTAGTAAGTAAACCTATAAACTTTACTGCCTCCATTTTTCCTGCCCTCAGATAACCACCTTTATCCCTCCTTTTAAAGAATAAACGTGACGCAATCCGAGCACCACACTCTGGCATTCCTCCGGCTCCATCCTGAGCTCTGCACGACTCAGACATCTCCCACTCCTCTCAGGTCATAAAAACACTTCTATTCAGTGAGCATCCATTTTTACGATCTGAGGAGGCGTGTTTGACACTTTCCACGCAGCCCTGATGGAAGCAGTCATTCATCATCCCTGCGTCTGCCTCGTTCTTATTGCTCTCTCCCCCTGCTCTGCTCTCCTATACAGTATACCTACTAAAGATGTATGTGCATGCCTAGGCGTGTTTGCTCTTCTGTTTTGGTGTCAGTTTGTGTGAGTGAAAAATAAAGTGATATTGAGGTCAGTGTTGGAGGAGTTGAGGCAGTGTAGTGGGAGTTATTTTGTACACAACAAATAGCTCGAGGGGGAGAGGCTGACTGAGGTAACCCAGCCACTGAAGGGAGGACCATTTCAGGATAAAAGTGATGTACTGAAGATACAGGGATAAATACATGTGGAACAAAAAACACCCCATGATTTATAGCCCCGCTACATTCATTGCCTCTCAATTTTCACGTTTTCCCTATTTGGTCCGAAAAACTGTTGGATGTCAACAGGCATTCAGGTTCTCAGAGGATGAAACCTAATGACATTTGTGATCTAACGATATGGTGCCAACAGTAGGTCAGTAAAATATATTGGCATTAACTGGCGCAACATTTTCTACTTCCCCAGAGGATGGACCCTAATATGTTGAGTGATCCCCCTCTCAAGCCACCATGACATTCCCATGTGTGGTTTACAGTGAAATATCTTAACTACTATTTGGCGGATTCAAAATGAATTTTAGTACACATTCACATCACATACCTTTGGCGTTTAATTGTGTAACCCTAATGAAAGACAGGTAAACGCTAAAGGTTTCTACGGTGGCCCTGAAGTGCAAGACACCACAGCATTTCAATGAAATGAAATGCTGTGGTGTCTTGCACTTCAGGGCCACCGTAGTTTTCAATGCTAAATGAAAGTTTCATTTAGCATTTCTTTTTTTTTAATTGAGCAAATGTTAGCATACTTACATGGTGGTAGAGAGTCAGCTTTGATGGCGAACATGGTAAATGTTACTTGAAACTAAACATGTTAGCATGGTGAGATTAGCATTTCGCTCAAAGTCAACAACATGTCTAAGTACAGTCTTACAAAGCAGCTACCCTGCAGCGCAAGCCGGTGGTACAGTCAGTTACTATGGGGACCACGTGTCTTTTATTAGGAGCCAGCATCAGTTCAGAATATATTTTATTGCAATACATTTTTGCTAATTAGCAAATGCTAGCATGTGGGCTCTGATGTGGGGGCAGAGGCTAAACTATGATGGCAGACCTAAATGTAACCTAAAGCTAAATATCAGCATCATAAAATGTTCTTTTAACTATATTAGCATGGAGATGTTAGCATTTGGCTCAAAGCCAACCACATGCCTAAGTACAGTCTTACGGCCGTACACACAGCAGCTTTTGGCGATTTGTCCACCGCTTCCAGCGCGTCTCCGCCCATTGACTTTGAATGGGGATGACGTCACTTTCCCTCGCTTGTCGCCGAACTGCATTGTGGGGGGGCGAGGCGAAGATTTCCAGGATTTCCAGGATGTTCAGGATTCCAAAGTTGAACAATGTTCAACTTTTGAGGCTGAGCTGGAAGCGACAGCCAATCAGATCCGTTTATGCAAATCTGACAGTTCAAGCGCTAGCCAATCAAACCGCGTGCAAGCTGGGAGAACCAGACCCGCAGTTCATTTCTATATTCCACAAAAATGGATGAGAACTTAGTTCAGGGTTCATACACTTTTTCACCAATGATTTTCAATGACTTTTCCATGACTTCTCAATGACCGTTACCTCATTTTCCATGACCAAAAGAAAATTACCACTGAAAATGGTTTATTTGAACATGGAACAGGAAAATAAGGTCTGCATATAAAACATGTAGTGCCTATCTAAAACAAATAAAATAGGCTTACTAGCTTCTACTCGCTAAAGCAACTGCAGTCAGGGAGGCAAAGTCATCAGGTATGAAAAAGGTGACAAGGATCCGAGCCCCCCGACCCCACGGAATATCAGCTTTAAAATGAGGAACAGAGGATTTTAGCAGTCAGAACAACTAAAGCAGCAGGTAATAATAACAGAAACGCCAAAGAGTCACATCTAATAGAAATATATAAAAGCATTTATTGTAATTGTGTAGCAGTCAGTTTATAATTCTGGCTGTTGAGCATTTTGAAAATGTATTGTCATGCCTCTGTGCAAGGCTTAGTCTTTCTATCTTTATAGCCAGTGGTGTAAAGTAACTAAGTTCATAAACTCAACAAGTACTATATGTGGGTACAATTTTGAGATACTTGTACTTTATTTAAGTATTTCAATGTTTTGCTACTGTGTACTTCTACTCGTCTACAGTTCAGAGGTACATGGTGTACTTCTACTCCTCTACAGTTCAGAGGTACATGGTGTACTTCTACTCGTCTACAGTTCAGAGGTACATGGTGTACTTCTACTCCTCTACAGTTCAGAGGTACATGGTGTACTTCTACTCCTCTACAGTTTCAGAGGTACATGGTGTACTTCTACTCGTCTACAGTTCAGAGGTACATGGTGTACTTCTACTCCTCTACAGTTCAGAGGTACATGGTGTACTTCTACTCCTCTACAGTTCAGAGGTACATGGTGTACTTCTTCTCCTCTACAGTTCAGAGGTACATGGTGTACTTTTCCTCCACTACATGTATTTAATACCTTTAGTTACTTCACAGATGTGGATGAATGATGTGAAATATAATCAAGTGTTGAATCAGACTTTAGTTCCAACTGGAGTAAATTCACAAGCTACCCTGCAGTATACAAAGTCATTCAAACTACACTCTTAAAAATGCTGGGTTATTTCTATAAACACATTGCTGGGTTGATTTGGCTGGGTCATAATTATGGGTTATTTGGGTACTGTAAACACACTGGTGGGTTGTTCATGCTGGGTCAAAGGAGTTATTAGGGCTTCAATTGCAGTTGAACACCCGCCTGGGTTATTTTTAACCCAGAGGTTGCTTTATTCATTTTCCCACTTCTGAATCATTCTGGAATCATCTTTTTCAAAACACAAGGTATGTAACCTATATTTTACCTATATTTATATAATTATACAATTCTGTAACCTATATTTTTTTAATGAGTTGTGATAACAGTTCAATAGGGATCTGTAGGCATTTAACAGACTGTGCAAAGTATAACATTAGCAGTTAACGTCGGCTACAAATGTTTTACATTTCTGTCAATGAGTGAAAGAGCCTTGAATTTACGTTGTGATGCGATGAATTATTATTTTACAAAGACGTGTGTTCTACTAGTAGTTATAAATGGGTCTGAACTATAGCTTTGGATTTGTGTGCAAAAGTATTAGATGTCCAATAAGGCAGTATAAATCAGATGGCTTTTACGTCACAACTCTCTTTCCCAGCATGCAGCTCGGGCGCGGGCTTTCACACATACGGACAGACAGACAGACGACAAAGAAGCTCATTGATGTAGGTAAGTTTAGGTTACTACAGTTATTTATTAATTACATTAATCATTAAAGTTAGCAACTATTTAAGTTATTTTTAGGAGTGAGTGACCGGAGTCACCGAACCACATAATGTAACATTTTATTTCCCTGCCATCGACGTGTTACCATAGGTTAGCTTAGCTTAGCATAGCACACCAACCAGCTAGGTCGTGTCAGGGGCAAATAATAATAATTCGTGAATGATTAAAATGTCTTCATGGAGAGATTTGGCAGACCCCCTGTAGTAACTGTACATTAGTAGCTTGGTACCTTACAATAACTGTTAAAACATTGCACAGTTTTGTGAAATTCTAATGTACTTAATCTGATTTGATTCTAGTAGAGGGTTTCACCATGGACATGTTCGTCACAGAGACGTTGACTGCATGGCAGCTTGAGAACTTGATTGACACATTTAAAGGTAAGTTAATTTTTATTGAGACAATGTTGAGATGTTACTATTAAATATTTTGTTATATATTAAAAAGAGCAAGGTAGCGCTGCAACAAACAACTAATTTGATAATCGATTAATCTATCGATTAATGAAACGATTAATCGACTATTCGGACTATTACTGTATGCCTTGCACAATTTCTCAAACGCTCTTATTTAGCCATCAACTTTTAGATGTAGCTTGAGGTTGTTTTAGGCATGTGGAAACTAACAATGAAGACAATAAAGATGAATACTTGATTCAAAAATACATATATTATTAAATTAACTAAACACATTTTGAACAAAATTAACATTGCTTTTAATTTAAATTAAATAAATAATATTTCACATCAAAAGAAACAACAGCGTTTTAACAAATGGTATTAAATAATGTGATGACAGAACTGTAAACAGAATAGGTGAAACTTTAACAAACTAAATAACTCAGTTTCCTCTAATAAATAAAATAGCTTTTGAAAATATGTGCATCTTAAAAGTGTTTAATTTTAGATAAATAAAATAAAGTGTAGCAGCAGCTTGAGTTTCTCTTTTTCTTTGTTAACCGTTTCACAGCATGACTTAACAGTTTCAGCCGATTATAGAACAATATCAGTCTTTACACATCATTACAATTGAACAGTTTTAAAGTTTCTCTTTCTTTCCCTCTTATATTGCAGTCCCTCACTCAGTTTTTTAAAATTCAGTGCGAGAATTGAGCTCGAGCTTGTCCTGCCAGGAGTTTGTAAATCTGGGCCGACATGGAGTCAGGGCCATTCTCACACACATGCAGGTGCTCATTGGTTACAGTGATGCAAACACAGGTATGGTGAAAAAAGAGAGAACTATTCGAAGCAGAAAAAAAACAGCGTAATATACCATCTGACAAAGGCCTGCGCTATAATGCTTCAATTAACTGGCTATTTATAATATACTCAGATCAATAGGAGACAGAGATGTTAAGTCTTAAATGAGTGAGCCGCATATGAATTATTCTGTGAACATACACTTTCAAACGGATGAGATAAGAAATGTCAGTAAAGTAAATGTACGATGTTGCTGTCCAACACTGGCTATCACACACCTTCAACAACAACCAAGGAGTGCATGCGGTGAACAGCAGTACTCAAATGCACTTTAAAAGCGCATCACAATTCAGTGTTTAATTCATGGATTTGAATCGTCATATATTTGTAACAATGATTACTGTCTCATCTCATCGTTCTTTGACAAACTTCTACTGTCTATTTTAACAGGCCACAGACACAAAGAAAGCCCTTGCCGTGGCATTGGTGTATGAATTCCCTTGCCTTTTGGATGGTACAGGCAGTGGCTATGTAAGTTAATCAATCAACACATAAAGGAGAACACTCCATACACACACACCTAAAAGAAATGTGCTCAAACGTTTTTCCTAGTGCACAGTCACACGCACATTTTTGGATTGCTCCTTGAAATCCCATGTAACCATCTTCATGGTTTACGCCAGGCCAATTTAATCTGAATCTAATTTTCTCTTTTACAGGGAGCTTGGTACACACCTGGCCGAAATCACAAACCTGCTACAGGTTTCCTGGAGGAGCGCTTGAGGAACGTCAGGAAGCGCATGAGAATGCTGAAACGACCACGCCACCAAGAACAACAGAAGGAACAGACCGTCCCTAGTACACCAGGTAATACTAATAACCAATTATTATTTATTAAACAATTATAGACCCATCTCTAAGTTGTCAGTTCTGGCCAAGGTTCTTGAACGCTTAGTGAGTGAACAGGTAAAGGAGTTTTTATGTAACAATGACATCCTGTCTAAACATCAGTCAGGCTTCAGAAAGCAACATAGCACCATCACTGCCACAATGAAAGTGGTGAATGATATTACGAGTATTTTAGATAATAAGCAGAGTTGTGCAGCTCTATTTGTTGACCTTTCCAAAGCGTTTGACACCGTCGATCATCGCATTTTAAAGCAGAGGCTAGCCAGTATAGGCATGTCCAGCCATGCAGTGGGGTGGTTTGTAAACTACCTCTCTGAAAGGTCCCAATGTGTTCAGTTTGATGGGCTGTCTTCTGAGTGGTTAAACATTGCTAATGGTGTTCCTCAAGGTTCTGTTTTAGGTCCACTTTTATTCTCCATATATATCAACAGTTTAGGTGAAAATGTGGATGAAGCTACTTTACATTTTTATGCGGACGATACCGTGATGTACTGTGCAGGTCCCTCCATTAAGGAGGCTGGTGTTAAATTACAGGCTGTTTTTAACATTATTCAGACTCAGCTCTCTGAACTAAAGCTTCTTTTAAATGTGGATAAAACCAAGGTAATGCTCTTTTCTAAAGCTAAAGCTAAAAATACACCGGAGACTGCTTTGGATATTGTAACTACGCAAGAAATACAACTTGAAGTGGTTACCTGTTACAAATACCTTGGTATCTGGCTTGATGATTGTCTCACTTTTAAACTTCATGTCAATAACCTGCTTAAAAAACTAAGGGTTAGGTTAGGTTTCTTCTACAGGAACAAGTCCTGTTTCTCGCTTGAGGCCAGGAAAAGGCTAGTCACTGTGACCTTTTTACCTGTGCTGGATTATGGTGATTTGTTATATATGAATGCACCTGCCAATTACCTGAGCAAGTTAGATGCTGCGTATCACAGTGCACTGAGATTTTTGACAAATTGTAAAGCACTTACGCATCACTGTACCCTGTATACCAAGGCGGTTATGCCATCACTTACTGTCCGGAGGCTCAGTCACTGGTACTTTTTCATTTACAAAGCCAAGTTGGATAAACTACCATCTTATATCTGCTCCCTGATCTCTCTGCGAATTGAAAGTACTTATTGCCTGAGATCGCATGCTGTGGTTTTATTAAATGTGCCAAGTGCTAGGACTGTCTTAGGGAAGAAAGCTTTTAGATGTGCAGCTCCACTAACATGGAACAGTCTGCAAAAAGAATGGAAAATTACCAAGCTAGTACCACTACATGTTTTTAAAGCTCGGTTGGATGCTACAAAATCAGATGCTGTCGGTACCTGTACATGTGGTTAAATATGTAAATTGTAATCCCTGTATGATGTCCTTTTGTTGTTCTGTTGTTTATGTCTTCTTGTGGAACCTACTGCTGCAGGTCTCCCTTGAAAAAGAGATCATTGATCTCAATGGGATTTTACCTGGATAAATAAAGGTTTTGAATTGAACCAATATTAATTATCCCCGCCAGGCTAGAATAGACAAATGCAAGGGATTATATTTTAGGTCCCATGACTCTTCTGTCCATCCATCTTCTAAAAGCTAGTCTCAGGCACCGCTGGACCGATTGGCGACTTTTCACACACTCTCCCAAGTAGGCCAGAACCCCAAATGTTTGAAATCAGCTATAATGAATCTGAGGACCTCTGTACTTATCATTCAACAGAATATGATGTGCCTCCTGAAAAACTTCTAGAAATGGTTGAATGGATGAAGGTCAATAGGTATCCAGTGTCCCAAGTTGAGGACTACATGAATCAAACAGCTCTACATAGAGGCAAGTGGATTCGCAGCAATGGATCTAAAAGCCTCCAGGAAATCTTGACTGAGTTCCCTAGGCTTTTAGACAATCCTGGCATGGTAAGAAATGATTTTGCTATTGCGGTTTTGTCTATTTGAATGATACTCTATTTGTGTTAGGATTTGAGGTAAGGCCGGACCCAAATGCAGATTGAGGAAGTTGTTGAAAATGAAAAAACAAAACAAAACCATGAATCCATAAACAGGTAGCACAAGGTAGCATCCAGACAAAAACGACAGTGACAAACATGGAGGCTGACAGGAAAGACAATGAACCGACAAGGAACACAGGGGAAGACAAGACTAAATTGTATTGTCATACTGATATTTTGTACAAACTGTGAAGTCCACTGAGACAAATGTAACATTTGTGATATTGGGCTATATAAATAAACAATCATTGATTGATTGATTGACTAAATACAAAGAGGGGCAATCACAGGGCAAGACACAGGGAGGGAATGCAGAAACACAAAGGCAATAGGTGAACACAATCAGACACAGGAGGGAAAACACAGGAAGGAAGAAAAGACACAGGTGAGGAGGGAGGAGAAAACCCAGAGGCACAAGGTGAACACAATTGGGTTATCAGGCAGGAGGGAACACAGAGACAGGAAGCAACAGACAAGACGGGGGGGGGGTGAACACTTTTCAAAATAAAACAGGAAACCAAAAACAGATATAGACAAGACAAAACACAACACAGACAGATCGTGACAATTTGACTGATACTCTGCAATGCACTACAAGTTTATGTTTAACCACTTAGACCCTACAGTATATACTTTGTAATAATTTACCTGTTGAAGTGACACTGGCTGTCAAATTGTCCCCTAACCCTTTTCCTAACAGGTACTACAAGCCCATATCATTTCTTTAAACACTGTTCTATTGTTTTTCATGTTTTTCAAAATGTATCAGATATCACAAGACTTCCAGCAGCTTCATCCAGAGGCAGTAGGAAAACTGTTTCAGAACTGGGCTACTATGAGTGACCAAATCCTTACATATGCCCAGCGAGAGGGAAAACTGCCCTTGGTGTTTGATGACATGACACCAGGTAAGCTATTTCTTACTATGTAACACACACACACCGGTTCTTTGAAAATAGCAGATCTACATGCTTGCATTGCGTCCCAATGAGACTCGTTGTGAGCTTGTGGATCTGCAATTTTTTTAAATATTTTAACAATCATCTTGTATGGGGTCCCTTGCACAACATGTTTTCGGATGGGAGTCTGTTGACAAATACATAAATACATGAACAAGTTTGTGAACCACTTCATTAGATACCTTTTGTCTTTCTTTGATTCCTGTTCCCCCCCCTTCCTTTTCTTTCTCTTTCTGGAAACAATCAAAGCGATGGAGCTTGCACAAAAACAAATGTCACCCACTGTTTTACACCTGTAAACCTGTGATGTGACAATAAAGATTCAGATTCTGATAAGATGTCACAACACTTCCTGTGATTATAATAGGCTATACAATTCACGCCTTGTTTTTACCATTCAACACCAGGGCAGAAAAGTCAATATTGCTTCAGAAATATCAATCTTTATATACTATTTAAATGTTGATGTTAATATGTATTTTTCTTATATTGCGTAGACCGAGCTTTGAAAGTCCTGCCGATTCTGCTTCCTCCATCGGTCTACAGGATTGGAGGAAAAGTCCACAGACCCACCATAGAGGAGTCCCGCAAGTCCTTCATTAATATCCAACCAGTAAGTTTTACTTTTGTTTTTCTACTTCAATAATGGTGGGTGTTTCTGTGTTTATATACTAGCATTTTCATACTTCAATAAAAAAGATAATAAAAACAACATGCTTAACTTAAATGGCAGGTTATATTGCAAGTAACTGTTGTGTAATTAACAGGTGGGCACCAACATGGTACAGTACCTACAGACAGTAGAGAGAACTCAACCCTTCCCGCACATCTTGTGTCTTTGTGATGACATGACAACATGCCAGACCTTCACCATTGTGTCAGACAACGCCATTGAAACGGACACTTTTCTGGGTGCAGTAGATCTTTGTTTTAAGGCTTTCTTTGTGCTTGACCTCAATTACACAAAGCAGTGTCTCCCCACCTGGGAGTTTATCCAACAGGCAGTATATAACATTGATGGACATGAATCCTCAAATGTCAAATTTATGAGGACATCAATTGCAGCTTTGGCCTAAAGGTACACAGAGAGAAGTAGCCTTTTAGTGATGTGTGTCAAACAAGTGGACAGCTGCTCTCTAAAAATATGATTGACACAAAACATGATTGCAGAAGACAGTAGGCACACACTTTAATTGTGTCAAAACATTGACCTGCGTTTACAGTACCTACTATTCCTGTTAATTCATTTATTTTAATTTAATTTTTCTTACTTTACGTGATTTTATTTACTTATTTAATTTACTTCATTTATTTATTTACCTTGTTATGTTTGTGTCTGTATATAGTTTCTGCTGGGCAGAGAAATGTTTTATCTCTATATTTAAACATGTTCATGTTATTTAAACCTGAAAGAGAAGTTGGTCCAGATAACAGCACTTTGTAATATATCATTTGTTTTAAGGCTCTTTGTTTTTTTTTGGGGGGGGGGGTTGAATTTGTATTGTTTGCATTGTTCTTTTATAGTGGCCTGAATGTTGACGATTTGCCAAAGATGTTCAAATTATGAATAAATGCATTTTTATATATATATATACAGTGTGTTTGGAGATTATTCATTACACTATTATACATTATTATTATATTTATTTAACCCAGTGATATAGTTAATTTCAATCACTAGCTTGGGTCAAATAAACAACCCAATGTATGGGTTAAAATGATCCAGTCCAGCATATGGGTTAAGACAACCCAGCGCGTGTTCTGTCCTATAGTGACTCAGCAGCTGGGTTATGATTGGGTTATTTTTTAACCCAGTAGTTTTAAGAGTGTAGCTGCACCTTTACCAGCTTTGAGAACACTTTCATGATCAATCATTATAAAACATATCATATATATTCTGAAATGGACCAATCTGCACAACGACTACTTTTACTGTCGCTACTTTCACTATATTTTGATGAGAATACTTTTCTACTTTTATTTGAGGAACATTTTGAATGCAGGACTTTTACTGTAACAGAGTATTCCTACACTCTGGTACTTCTACTTTTACTCATGTACAAGATCTGAGTACTTCTACTTTTACTCATGTACAAGATCTGAGTACTTCTACTTTTACTCAAGTACAAGATCTGAGTACTTCTACTTTTACTCAAGTACAAGATCTGAGTACTTCTACTTTTACTCATGTACAAGATCTGAGTACTTCTACTTTTACTCAAGTACAAGATCTGAGTACTTCTACTTTTACTCAAGTACAAGATCTGAGTACTTCTACTTTTACTCAAGTACAAGATCTGAGTACTTCTACTTTTACTCAAGTACAAGATCTGAGTACTTCTACTTTTACTCAAGTACAAGATCTGAGTACTTCTACTCAAGTATTTGATCTGAGTACTTCTACTTTTATTCAAGTACAATATCTAAGTATTTCTACTTTTACTCAAGTACTTGATCTGAGTACTTCTACTTTTACTCAAGTACAAGATCTGAGTACTTCTACTTTTACTCAAGTACTTGATCTGAGTACTTCTACTTTTATTCAAGTAACAAGATCTGAGTACTTCTACTTTTACTCAAGAACAATACCTGAGTACTTCTACTTTTACTCTAGCACAATATCTTAATACTTCTACTTTTACTCTAGTACAAGATCTGTGTGCTTCTACTTTTACTCAACAAGATCTGAGTGCTTATATTACTCAAGTACAATATCTATACTTATACCACCTCTGTTTATAGCCTATGAAAAAAACTATTAGAAAACGAAGGCTAAAGCTAACGTTAGCAGATAGTGACAATGTATGCTAGCTAGCTAGCTCAACGATTCCTTAAATGATATTGCGACAGAAAAACGTTCCAGTTCACATCACGCTCTGCCGCTCTGCTCTGAACACCTGAACGGTCCGTTCTAACAGCTCTTCACCAGCGGCTCAGTCTGTGCCACAGTGACTCCGCACAGCTAACTAACGCACCGTAGATAATGTAGCTGACCCTCATCCCGGAGCAGCAGAATTCAGCTGACAGGGCAGGAAGTCTCGAGCACACAGCTCGCGCTTCATATATTAAAAAATAACACCATGCGCGTCATGATGGCTCATAACAGCTCGCGCCCGCAGATTATTTCGGTGATTAGATAAAATGTAAATTAAATTTGACGCAACTTTAGTTACATTTCCATGACTTTTCCAAAACTTTGGGAAAAATATTGTTTCCATAACTTTTCCAGGGCCTGGAATTTGCATTTTGAATTTCCATGACTTTTCCAGGTTTTCAATGACCGTACGAACCCTGTTAGTTATTGCGGTAGCAAATCACCCGGTTCTTTATGACCAGTCTCTATTTACTTACCGGGATACAAACCGGAGGGAGGTGGCAGAGGCAGTGGGTGAAACTGGTAGGTTTTCGCTTGTTTGGGGATTTTATATCCAGTTTACTTCGTTGCTAGTTTACTTCGTTGCTAGCAAGCATAGACAGTATCATTAGCCAGCATGGAATGTAGCATAAAATAGCACCATAAACATTAATCTCATAAATGTTCAAAATGTTCAAAAAATAAATGTTCATCATAGCCTTCCTATTTGACAATAGTGTAGAAGAACCGGGTTTTTTTGCTTTGTATGTCGGGGGCGGGATATTCATGTGATTGGTTGTTGGTCGCGAAATCCCCAAGCTGTCAGACACGCCCAGCTCCAGGATTTTCAAGATTTGGTCAAAGCTGCTGTGTGGACGGCCCGTTACAGAGCAGCTATCTTGCAGTGATTTGTTTGTATGCAGCCACAAGTGCATTGATGGAGTTAGGTGCTAATGGACTGTGTGCGTGCGTGCGTGTGACCATAAGACCGTAGATAGTAAGGAGGAGGGGATACAGGGAGGAACGCAGGTGTGAGCCCTCTCTTTCTCCTCTCTGTAGCTCAGCAGCTGATGGTGAGCAGAGGGCTTTCCCCCTGAGCAGGTCACTCTTCACAGTAAGTGGCACATACATTTATCCTCTTATTCATCTCTGCATTTTGCCTTTTTTTACCTTCTAACTTCAGTCCACACCTGGGTCCGAAAGATGCTGCACAGAATCATTGGCTTCTGTTTGAACCCATGTGACTCTTATGTTGGTGATATCATGACATCTGTATTTTCTTATACTCTCAGTGGAGTCTTTTGTGACAAATTGTGTATCACATCTGAGATATAATTGTACATATGGATGTTTCTTGGCACATGTGGATGCAATATAGTGTTATGATGGTCCTCTTGTAATTGAACCTTCCTAATTTAAGAAAAACTGGGTATCAATGTTGCCATGAAGCTTAAGAGAGGTCTGATTCCAGTGTTAAACTTGTATATTGTATTTTCATTATGCCTTTATAGCCCACATCTATTCCACTAACGTTTTGTGGGTGTGATTAGTATTTGGCCTTACCAAACATTGCATTATTCAAAGCACTGTGTGCTATATAGCTTTAAAAGAAAAAAGATGATTCAAAGATAAATATTTTTTACGAATGACGGTGGGCTAATTTCTGGTTTGAAATAATAGACATCAAATTATTCTGCCAGAAGAAATTGTCTGCTTCGACTTGAATTGTCCTATGAATAAAATATTTGTTGTTGAAGGCGTGATTTGACAATTACTGTTGAATTAAGAACTTTAAAAAAAATGTGGTGCCGTTAAAATTAGTATACTTATTTTCTTCATCTGTATTTCTAAATTAGATTCTGCAGTGAATCGATCATGTTTTTCCCTTCGCTTTCCTCGGAAAACAACAGCCCAGGTTGATTGATTTTCATGACACTGATGTCTGTAAATCCATTCTGTGGCCGAGGAGTGAAAGTAACTGCACTGAAAATAACCCTGAGCCAGTCGCAACTTCTAAATCAGTAAAGCAACGCAGCTGGAGGTGAATGTGACTAAAATTAAATACAATTAGTTGAGCCTCGTGTTGCTCACTTCATGTCTCTGCTTCCAATCACTTCTGGGTTATTTGCTGTCTCTCCCCATCTGTCATGTTACATCATTCCCTTTCAGCTCTCTATCACGACTCCTGCTCTTCACTCCACATTCAGTAGCAGTTGTACTCATAACGGCAGGCAGAGTAACAACAAATAGCAGATGAGGAAAATAAATAGTCAAATTTACTCCATTAATGTACATACTACAATTTTATAATATTTGTCCTTTACTTTTGTGTGTTCACCTTTGTAAATATAGATGGATCAGGACAAAAGGACAGAGAATCTGTTTTACTAAAACTTTCCTAATCTCTTCACATCATTTTGTATAAAATACATGAAAAAGAGGATTTTTAATCAAATGCATCGACAATAATATTCCATGGATAATATATATATATATATATATTGTTCTGAAATGGGCCATTCTGCCAAATCAGGGGTGCAGTGATTGTTGTTGTTTATCAACCAGGAAGTTAGCATAGCAAGGGCCCTTTCTCATTTCTCAATTCTCCCCTCAGGACCCATCAGTGTATCCTCGATTATAGCTCCTCCAGAGAGCCTCCTCGATGCTCGATCCTCGGTCCTTGAAGTACACTCGGTCACTAGTTTAGCATATTCAGCCCGGTTGTTGGCCCGGAAAGAACCACGATTTTGGAGGGCCAGAAGAACTGTGAAAAGGTACCCGTTAGCCGGAACTACCCCTAGTGGAAACGCAACAAAAAACGGGCCGGGTTTGGCACGGCACGCTTAAACCGTGCTACGCGCTGCAGTGGAAATGGGCCATTAGAGAATTTAGATGTCCTTCAACATGGCGCGCTGAAATCCATTTCCGGGTCACTACCGGAGGACCGAGGATTCGAGGAGGGGAAATGAGAAAGGGCCCAGGTCTCTCAACTGAAAGCGATGAGGTTTTTCCACTGGATTTCAGAATATTGCAGAAAATAAGATCTGTGGCAAACACATGTTTAGGATACTTACAAGTTTTGTTCAGCAGGATAATCTCCACATATTAAGACCACTAGTTGAAGCGTAAATGCAATCAACAATTGTAAAAAGCTCACGTTAGCTTTAAACAAACTACATCACAGTGGCATGACTTCACATCAACACCACTAAGCTAAAGGAAGCTAATGTTTGTGATGATGACATGACATGAAGAAGCTTCGGACATTCAGCAGTGGAGAAAAAAATCTCTTAAGATTGATAAGGTATTTCACGAATCTAACCTATACGAATCTA